TTATATAATATAAAAAAATGACTTCATGAATATTTTGAAATCAAGAGAAGTAGGGGTATATACTGCTCATCTGATTGAGATTCGGTAAATGAATGTCATAAAATGTAATACAAAAACAAAGAACGGTCGTAAAAGAGCGAGAAGATTTAACATATGATAGGAAATTGTGGAGAGCTATTATCTCTCACATCCTAACAATTCATAGCGCATAAAGAAAGAAAAAGAGAGGAATTAAAGTAATTATTTCTAATATAATATTTTTATTTTTAACTCCTTTTAAAATAAACATGCAAATTTCCATATGTTTATTAGTGTCAAGTATTTTATTTTCTAAATATGCCATATAATAATTAGAAAAAGGGAGCCTAAAGGAGATGCCATAGCAATACCGTCTATCTGAGTATAAATATTACATAGGAGGTCATGAAATTTCCAGTTATAATTAGTTTCTTAAAATACGCTGACTACCGAGGATGAAACACGAAAAAACGAATCCTTTTTTGTGCTAATATTTACATATCGCCGACGCGGATATTTTGAAGCAGGTCTTAAATTATTATAATTAATAATTATTCAGATTATTAACTCTTAGATGTTGATTTTATTTTCTAATTACAAATTACTATCTCGTTCTAAATACAGGGTGATTGAAAAGTAACTCTTTATTTTATGAATGAGTGGCCAGCCAGGAATTGTGACTTATCAACCTGTGACTTTTTTCTTTGGGGCTGATTAAAGGAGCAAGTTTACTATGCCAAATTAAGAATTTGGAAGAACTTGAAGGGTGAATACAAAAGATATGTCTTCCATTTCAGAAGAGTTCCTAGGCGGCTCAAAAAGCTGGTAGCGAAATCTGGTGTCCATATCGAACCTTAAATAAAACCTTATGCTAAACGCTTTCCACTTATATCGATGTCTTGTAAAAAGTAGAGTTAGAAAAGAATTTATAAGCATTTTAAAATGGGTAGTTACTTTACAATCACCCTATATAAAGAATACATTACATTGACATTCAAAGAGGTCAGTAACAGAACTCAGACGGTGAAGAGGCAGAACATCCTAACGTATTGACTGATTCTTGTTTCGGCAAAAAATTAATAAAAAGCATTGACAGACAAATAAGATCTTTGGCTTTATATTTCTGCATTGTTTAATTTGCAGTGTAACAAATGCGCTCAGTTTGCATTAAAAATTTCCAGAATATTTATATTTATGTGTAATTGTACATGCTCTATTCGAATCTGGCTCGATAAATTTGATACAATCTACAGTCTTGTAGTTATCGACGGTGGCAGCCATTACTGGCGGTGTTTGCATACATTCACTGCAGAATAGCTATCAGTGTAGGTATCATTGCGCAAACTGAGCGTGTCTACGTAAATAGTTCTTGTGTGCATTAATTGAGACGAATTTAGACGAAAAAGATCAGTTCAACGCTTAGCTTTCCGTAGACTTCCGCGTTTAGCTTTCCGCAGCGAAGATATACAAACAACGCGAGTAATGGCTACCGCCATCGACGCCAATGAATCCGAACTTTCACTGTCGATAACTCCAAAACGGTGGATCTTATCAAATTTATCAAGCCAGATTCGAATGGAGCATGTACAATTAGACATTAATGTAAGTATTCTGGAAATTTTTAATGCGAACTGAGCACTGGTGTTACACTGTAAATTAACCTCTGTATTCTACCATAACCAGTAGATGTCAATCATATATAGAAATAAATCATTCTCGAAAATAACCAAAAGAACAAACTCTAGACAATTACATGTTGTTGAGTAAATTTAATTTCTAGTACATGTTTACAGAACTATTTTTATGTCCAGACCACAAATGTTATTTAGTGTTTTCTCAAAGAATATGGGAACAGCTATTAATCAGACTTGTATTTTTGAAAGAGAATATGAGAAAAACTGGAAGAAAATTGAAGATCTGTACAGCATGGTAGTAACAGTGTAGAGTTAGCGGTTGAATTTAGCTATTTCAACAGTAAACAGGTGGGACCTTGATGTCAATCAAGTACGCTTAAATTTATGTAGTCGGGGCGTCAGGGAAAAATCTAGACAATGAATTTGCCATGAAAATATATGGAGAAAAAAACAGAGGAAAGCCATGTCAGCCGTGAGAAAGTGGCTGACATTGAGCTTCTACTTTGCGTCCGAAGAACACCCTTCCGTATCCTTGCTTCCCTGATAAAAACAATATTCAAAAATTTAGACGCAACGTCAATCGCCATCCTCCAAATTCTTGAATCTCTTTCATCTCTTATCTTTTCCCCAATCATCCCTATACTCCGTTTTTTCACTCACTTTAACTTCCACTAACAGATAAAATATGAAATGGGTCATTTAATAATGTAACATATACAGTAGTCCTTCCCCTGTAAATAAGGAAAGGAACGCCAAAAAGAAGCATATGTACACACACACAGACATAGATAGATAGATAGATAGATAGATAGATATTTGGAAAGAGCAACCTGTACTGCTTTGTATTCGCGCGGGGAGATCCATTACGATCATTTGAGTGTTTGTCTGTCAATCACTGCAGAAGGTTCGAAAAGAGGCTAATGAAGATTACGAAGGTAGGGCAGCTGGGAAAACTCACTCTGATCCTTCTGATAAGAAAAGAACTCATGATTTAGGGGGGGGGATCAAACTCAACATGGAGGACTTCATCAAGTGCCTTCAGGAGGTATTGCTGCTCTGGGTCAAGAAAATGGATGATGGATGTTACTAAGCCAGCCAACAGGACTCTTAAGCATGTCCCACGAGCTGAAGAATCCAGTCATGTGTGTCAGACAATTTCTGCGATCACATCACCCCGTAGATTTGGCCACCTAAATCCCCAGACTGCAAACCGCTTGATTATTATTTGTGGGATATAGTTCAATGAGAGACCATCACAATTTCTTGTAACACCTAAGACGAACTGAAAGCAAGGATTATTGCAGAATTCACGAATTTAAACAAGTAGACAATCCAGAAGAGTTGCAGGAGATTGCGAAGTAGTCTGGAAGCCGTCGTTGAAGTCAATGGCGACTTTAATGAATAAATTTACTCTTTAGTTATTCAAGATATTTATAAGTAATTTTTGTCAATATATCTGTTAAAATTAGATATCCATGGTATTTTCATTTTTGTTTAACTTAGACGACAATTTAATCATCACCGCAACATATACATATATATATATATATATATATATATATATATATATCGAAACTGTATCCTATACGAAACTGTCTTATAGCCTGACAGGCTTTACCGATTGAGCAATAGAGGAGAGTTTTGGTTAGCAATGTCGATTTTACTGTTTTAAACTACAATTCTTCATGATTTTCTCTCGTACATTCATATCTGCTCGATGCATATCTAAATGTACACAAATGACGTCCTACATTATGAACTGGACAACGACCGAAAATTATTTTAAGAATTTTTTTTTTTATGTTTATACGTTCTTTTTATAGATACAAATATCTAAGTAAATGATCTGTTTATAATAAAAAGCGACATTTAAATGACGTGCTTTACTGAAATTGAGCCGTCATACAGAGCTTTACTGTTCACAGAGGAGCGTTCGGTTAACAAGGATTTTACTGTTTTTAAACTACAACTCCCGATTTTTTCTCGTTTTTAAAACAGTAATATATATATACATACACACACACACACACACACACACACACACACATATATATATATATATATATATATTATATATATATATATATATATATATATATATATATATATATGTGTGTGTATGTATATATGTATATATATATATATATATATATATATATATATATATATATATATATATATATATATATGCATGTATGCATGCATGTATGTATGTGCATGTATGTTTGTGTGTCCGTGTCTTTGTCTGTCTGTACGTATATATGTGTTTGATCGCATGACCTGGAACTACTGCACTGATTCGTCAATCTTTGTGTAATTAGTGAAGAGTTTCATGATTTTTCCATCTTTTAAACATAATATTGTTTTATTTACCTTTTTTATTGCCCTAATAGTCATTAATTTCCACGTGGATGAACACCAAAACAACCCAAATGATAATCAAAATATCAGCCATAATTTTGCGGTTAAAAGTTTATATTTTACATTTCACATTTTACTCTGTTTTTTGTCCAGAATATTATTAACTTTTAGTAATAATAATAATAATAATAATAAGAAGAAGAAGAAGAAGAAGAAGAAGAAGACTATGATACGAGGGAATTTTATATAATTTTCGGCCAGACGCCCTTCCCAAATCAGTATTTCAAAACATTGCAAGAGAATTTTTCAGCACTCCCTCGTGATGAGAAAATGAAAAGTTACAAGTAGAGTGTGGAAAAAAAAAGGCGCTCTTTGTACTTTTTACTTAATTAGGAAAAATTATTGATTCGCCTAAACTTTTTGTTGCTTTTGTTGCTCGGGTCGAACTGTCATGAAAAATCCAAGCCATGCAATCAGCAGTGAAATATGATCTATAGAAGCACAGAGTTAATGACTACAACATACACACAACCACAAAAAGATAGAGAGAGTGAGAACGATCGTGCGAGAGAAAGAGAGAGATGGGTGGGAAAGATCATATGAGTGAGAGAAAAAAAAAGAGGAACTTTTAGCGCGTCTGGGAGAAAAATGAGAAAGAAAGTGTATGCCAAAGAAAAGGATAAAAAGAGTTGTTCTGAAAGAGAAAATGAGGAGAGTGTGAAGGAAAGAGAAATCAAAAGTGAGAAAATGGAATGTGCCTGTGGGACAGAAAAATGAATATAAAAATCTGAGTGAGAAAAAATTACAAAGAGAGAAAATCGATAAAGAGTGTGTGAGAGAGAAAATGAGAAAAAGCGTGTAGGAGTGGGAGAGAGAGTATGTGTGAGAGAGAGAAAAAGAGAACGAGGTGATAGAAAAACAGTATATATGCGTGTTCGTGTTTCAGAAAGAGATTGAAAAATAGAGGGGAGATCGAGATAATATAAGCCGCGAGAGAAAATAAGTTTTACTTTTTTTCTTTCTTTTTCTCTTTTTCTTTTCTCTTTCTTTCTTTCTTTTTCTCTTTTTCTTTTCTCTTTCTTTCGTTTTCTTTCTATCTCTTCCGGTCTTTTCTTAATCAAACTACGTTTTTCACTCTTTCTTACTTCCATTCTTTCCTTTTTCTTTGTGTCTGTCTTATACATTTTCCCAATTCTGTTTTTCTTTTCTTTTTTTATGTCTTTCCCTCACCTTTATATCTTCGTCATTTCTTTATTTCTTCTCTTTCATTCAGTTATTCATATTTTTCTTTCATTGTTTTTTACACTTTTATCTCATTATATTCTTCCTCTCTTTTCTTTTCTTTTCTTTCTTTCTTTCTTTCTTTCTTTCTTTCTTTCTTTCATTCATTCTTTCTTTCTTTCTTTCTTTCATTTTGATTTGGGATCTTTCTTTCATGGTAACATTTTCCTCAATCATTCATATTCTTTACCAAACCTCCAGTTCGTTTTTAAAGCATTTTTCATCGTTATTTGGTATCTGTGGCAGAGCGAAAGACTGTTGAAGGGTAGGCGTCCATGGACATTTCCCCCTCAGCTAAATAAATTATCTTTGAACAATGAAGCCTTTTTTTCCTATTAAAATAGTCTTTAGGTCAGGCGCTACTTTATGCCATGGAGGCAAAGAAATAAAATAAATGATTAAAAAATTTAAGCAGGACGTCGAAATCAATAATGACTCGCGGCATTCTTCCAACTGAAAGATATCATTGCGCCAAAGTATGAAAAAATAAACAAAGAATTACGCGTCCTACAATAAAACTCACCAAATAACCAACTAATATAATTTTGTTTTAATAATATTTTACACTTTTATAATATAACCTTTTAGCGAAAGTTTTATGTTGTTTTCTATACTATGTCCATTAAGTAACCACTGAATTCACCCAGGAAAAGATCTGGAGCGCGTTCATATATATTATATATATATATATATATATATATATATATATATATATATATATATATATATATAGAGAGAGAGAGAGAGAGAGAAAGAGAAATTCATCAAGTCTAGAAGAAACTTCAACAGAATGCACTGGACAGCCGTTTCATCCTATATTTGGGACTCGTCAGCAGTGCGCAGCCACTACCGAGAATTGAAACCCGTTGGTACAGTTGATATGATGTTTGCCTGGTGACGTAACTGTCCAGGTTTCAGTTCCCGGTAGTGAATGCGCACTGCTGATGAGTCCCAAATATAGGGGGAAGCGGCCGTCCAGTGCTTTCTGTTGACGTTTCTTCTAGATGAATTACTTAATTAAATAAAATTCTCCTAATATTTTCTATTATATACATGATGAAATGTGAGATATATATACATATATATATCATTACATAATATTCTTAAAAGAGTAGAGCAAATATAACCATTTTGTTTCAACACATTGCATTTAACACCATCACTTGGTAAGACAGCAGAAGTGTTGGAACAAAATGGCTTTTTTGTAGTGATTTTATAACATATTTATGTTATAGTTTTCGAATAAATTATATATATATATATATATATATATATATGATGAAATATCTGGTTTTAGGGTGTGTTTTATTCAAGTGCTGCAGTGCTTGATATCAGGGATATAACGTGTATAAATACAGACGTGAACACTGATGGCCACACTGAGAGCGACAGTCTGTTACCTTGTTGAACGTGTCTGTGTGTGGAGTGTGTGTGTGTGTGTGTGTGTGTGTGTGTGTGTGTGTGTGTGTGTGTGTGTGTGTGTGTGTGTGTAAGACAAATATAGAAAAGTTCAAATTTAAATAATAAAAAACGTGCGAACTAATAAGTGAAAATATTGTGTTCAAAAATACTATTCGGTCTTTCTTTGACTGTAAGTCCCTGTGGCTGAGCGGTCAGACACGTCAGATCCAATGATGTTTCCAAATAAGCGAAGCAGGTTTGAGTCCTGTCGAAGGATCCATATTTTCTGACAATATTTCTCAAATATTCAGTAGATTATGTTGGATAAAAAGTACCTTTAATTAAAAGACAGAAATTCTACTCGAATATAAGTCTCCGTAAACCAAAAAAACATTTAGACAAAATAATCCATTTCCTAAAATATATATATATATATATATATATATATATATATATATAGGCCCGCTTGCACACATCATACTCACTCACTCCCTAAGAACCCAATAAGCAGCATGAATCCATCCAACTCTTATCTCAAATAACAACTTAAAAAAGACTGTTTGGCCAACACAAGGACGGACCAAAAATTTAAAAATTAAGAAAAAACAAATGAAAACTACAGACAAATGTTCATTTTTTCCATCAAGACATTCATTTCTGTAGTTCACTGCTACCAGCAAGCAGATTTTTTTCTCCTGATGATGGGCATGTTTGCCGAAACTAGTCGAGGTGTCTAAATGAAATAATAATAAAAACGAAAGAATATTAATCTACAAACCCAGTGTGTCTGAAGATTTAAATTTTTAAATATTTTTATTGTTCAATAAATATATATATATATATATATATATATATATATATATATATATATATATATATAAATGGAAGAGGTTATAGTAGTTCCAACGAGAGAAAAGTCTGTATATTAAAAAGAAGAGAGATACCGCAAACGTTTTTGGTTGTAATGTAGATTTTTTTTTTAAATATTATGCTTTATTTTCCATAATTTTATTCACTTGTATGGATATGAGTGTGTGACCCTGGGTTTCATGTTTTTGCGATCATCAGACAAACTGGATTAATTTTTACAAATTGAATATAATTATGCATGTTTGTGTTTGATTATGTTTGGTGATAGGGGAAAATTCTCTGTGTTCGTCTGGGATGACACTCTCACATATACATGCATACAAGTGTACGCATTTTAGTTCATATAAACACACCCATATAAACAATTCGAGATTTGGCGCAGATACACATCCCTGCTTTCAAGTATACATATATACGCAATTGTAATTCTGTTTCTGTTTCCAGACTGTATGTATCGGTGTTCTTTCGACAAGGGGCAGGTTGGGGTGTTCTTGATTCTTTTCAGATCGGCCGCCTGCATCACCAACATTACACTTCCTCTCACGCATATACATTCATGCAGACGTACACGTACACACCTATTGATCTGGGTCTTTCATCACCACTTTGGTTAAGTGGGTTCTGTTTGGGGGCATGGTGATGATGTTTCTATCTTCAACACTGACTGCTTGTGCATTATTGACGATTGTGAGTATGTTGATAGTGCTAATAATTGATATTATAATGTTAATAATAGCTATTGATGGATATATATATATATATATATATTCTTGGAATATAATCCTACTGAAAGTTAGAATTTTCACTTATTGATATCAAATACATCAACTTTTAGAGATGTACTTATATATGTTTATAAACCTTAAATTACCTGCTGTTGATATATATATATATATATATATATATATATATATATATATATATATATATATATATATATATATTTAAAGACAGAAGCCAAAAGCAGTCATTGTTTATAAAGATGTGTAAGTACATTTACAACAGTGGAATGTTAACATTAAGAATTGAAATTTCTCTCATAAGGGTTACAGTTTATGCATGGAATAAAGTTCAAACATGATCAGAGCTCTGTTGTTATATATATATATATATATATATATATATATATATATATATATATATATATATATATATATATATATATGTATGTATGTATGTATGTGTGTGTGTATGTATCTGTGTTTGTATTCTATCTGAAGATTATTCGTCAGACACTATTCCCTCTCGCATACAATATGTATAGACACTAAACAAACATATCACCTCTAAGCATACGGAACTGATCGATGACATAAATATGGGGAAATACTTTCGAGGTGACATATGCTCTCCACTCAATTCAGCTGATATGTCACCATGGTAGGTAATATTTTATAATATATGTTACTTTACGTAACTGTCCCGAAATAATAAGGACATCGCCGTTCTATTGTTATTAGGAAATCGGTGATAGACTTTCCAATTTTGGCCAGGTCTATAAAGCTTTTAAAATGTGCGAAAACAAAGTTTATATCTTTGAAAACACGAAAACATAGTGGTTAAACTATTTACATAATTTTCCACAACGAACAATTTCGAATTTTTAACTATTATACCTCTTCTATTTCTTTCGAATTTTTAACAATTATACCTCTTCTATTTCTTTCGAATTTTTAACAATTATACCTCTTCTATTTCTTTCGAATTTTTAACAATTATACCTCTTCTATTTCTTTCGAATTTTTAACAATTATACCTCTTCTATTTCTTTCGAATTTTTAACAATTATTTTTCTATTTCTTTCTGAAAACAATTATACCTCTTCTATTTCTTTTCGAATTTTTAACAATTATACCTCTTCTATTTCTTTCTTGAATTTTTTAACAATTTCTATTTCTTTTCTGAATTTTTAACTATTATACCTCTTCTATTTCTTTCGAATTTTTAACAATTATACCTCTTCTATTTCTTTCGAATTTTTAACTATTATACCTCTTCTATTTCTTTCGAATTTTTAACAATTATACCTCTTCTATTTCTTTCGAATTTTTAACTATTATACCTCTTCTATTTCTTTCGAATTTTTAACTATTATACCTCTTCTCATATTTTACTGAAAAATTATTCCATCCTTAAAAATTTATTTGTTTCGCCTATTCCATATTCGATGTTACAAATTATGAAGATATTTTAATAATTATACCCTTGGATTAAGAATAATATGCTAACCTAATGCGATTAACACAAATGGGAAGACATGAGAATCAAACTGGAAATATTGCAGTATGGGATTCGTTCCAGTTTTATTTTACTCAAATGATATCGAAGTGCAGCCTGATAATATTAAGGCATTCATTTTAAATAGCGGTAAATATATAAGTAAATAACTTATACTTATTTTTTTAAGTTGACTTGTTTGTTTAACGGCATATCAAATTCTTAAGGGTTATATAATACCGGAATTATTTTTCTTGTGATGTTTGAAATAATAAAAATTATGATACATGTTATTCTGCTTTCACACTTGAGTACATGGTAGACGCCTTTGTGCATATACTTATTTGTGTGGGCATTATTATTAGAGACGGTGGTATATGTATTTTACTTCATAGTTATACAGAAATGATATTTATTTGATTTCTTTTAGAAATTGGTTGTTCGTCAGCATTTTAAACGGATTTGGATGAAGTCGCTATAATTTTTATAAATTTGTATTGTTCGTTATTTTTTTAACAGTTTTACTTTGGAATACAGTTTGATTTTTAAGTAATTGTCGTGAGTGTTATATCATGTTTTTTCGTTGGTTTGTTGGTTGGTTTTGTTTGGCGCCATATCAACCTCTTTGGATTATATAATGCCGAAAACTAAATATTTTGATATTTTGTACGTAATCTTATGTCCCATCTGCAAATATCCCATATGTTATATATATATATATATATATATATATATATATATATATATATATATATATATGGTATCCCAAAATAATGTATACACTCTTTGAATCGTTATAACTTATCAATTTATGTATTTTAACTTGTAAATAAGATTAATACAAGAGGAAC